TACTTATTTATATTTTTTATTGTAAGATATATTATTTTTTTTGCATGACAAGATATATTTATTCTAAGTTAAGAAAAATATTTGGTTTTAATATATAGACATTAATTATTATTTTATGAAATTTGACATTTATACTAACTATATCATATTATTTGGTGTATATAATATATATTACAGAATTTAAATGTGATTTTAAATATATATTACTAAATCTCATCAAAATATATTAAGTAGTAAGAAAATATAAAAAAAATTCCATTGTAAATTAAAAAAAATAGTATAATGATAGATTCTTACTCATATAAAATATGTATACATAGAAAATATTAATTTATAATTTTAATGGATCATATATTTACATAGAATTTTCCAAAAAAATTATTATCTTATTGATTTGTCTCAAATTTTGAACTGATTCAAATTGGAACTGACGAAATTTATTAATTTATAGAAATTATTAATTTAAAATCTTTTCGTTTAATGTTGTAGGAAGTCTTCGAAACCGGTTTGTTTAGCAACCCAAAATTTGATTACCAATAAACTACTATCAAAATGTTAAATTGTATTATCATATATCTAGGAATTTGATATATACATGTGACTGAATATTTTTAAACAAACATAAAAAGTTGCTGAGAAGATAAAGACCTAATGGAGAAAATGAGTCGTTAAATGCTATTTTATCTTTCGTTAAAAGGAACTTACTTCCTCTGATGTTCGAAAAAGTGACCTTAATTAGTGAATACGAGGTTCAACCACTGCACTGATTAGCCTTTGTTTTTTTCTTTTACCAAAATGTTTATTATATAACAAATAGATTTTATAGCCCTGAAAACAAAATCTATGAATTCTTGATTTTTTTGATTTCCTTCTTAACTTTCGAGACCTAGCTCAACTGTATGTGTTTTCCTATGTGATATGTTGTGTTTTTGACACATTGTATATAGGTTCCACTAATTGTTTTTAAAGTTTTATCGAATATCTGGGTTATTACATATTTAGAATTGTACTGAATAGCAGGTTAATCACTTGGAACAAAAGAGGCAGAAAAGAGTAAATTAGAAATTTTACGCGGAGTAGCCTAGCAAAGCAACATAACTACTTGTTCTCGATATTTATGGAAACAAAGATTTTATTTCAGGATTTGCTCTAGTTTCCCTATCTTTACTCTCTAGCGGCATGTGGCCTCTTTATATATTTATTTTCCTTTTTCTTTATTTTTTTACCTCAGTTTTTACACAAGAAACCTAGAGATCTTTGATTTTGGTGATTTGCTACTTGTAAGGGACACGACTCCATCTATTTCCTTATAGAAGGTCATCATGAACTCTCTTGCTTTTATTATTAATTACATGCGGTATTATTCAGAATCGATGTCTCTGTGTTCTTGTGTTATGGCTAAGTAGTCAGCTAGTTAGTTTAGGGTTCTAGGATGTTAAATTCGCTAGCTAAGCATATATAAGTAATCATAAGATTGTCTTCATTCATATTCATTCTTATTGTTTGCATTAAACTGATCACTTAGTGTATGAACTAGGTTTAATCTAATTACTAACTGTGTAGAAGATAACTTGATATGATATAAATGAGCTTTGAATCCCTAATCAGCGAGAATAGATATTAGGGTGTTTTGTGAACCTAACGACATGATCTATATTTCTTGCTGTCGCTTCTTTATCCAAACGAGAGTTTAGGTAATCAAGATGATCCGCTAAGGGAAGAGTTCCATGACCGTGGGCTGTTCTATCCCAAGTGATCCGAGTTTTAGACTTGTTAGGAACCAAACTTGAACAATTGCTTGGCTTGCACATATTTAGCATCCGATGAATTAACCCTAGACTAGCGCTTTTAAACAATCTGAAAACCAATCTACCTTGTTACTTGCTTGTTACATTTACTCTACCAATTAAAACCCCCATATTGTTTTAACTTGATATTGTTCCTATAAAAATAAAGTGTGAACTGGTCCTCTAGAATTGAATCTAAATATATTACAACAACATTATTAACTTGACAGTAAACAAAGATCCAAATTTTAGTGTATCACTAGCGAGATTTTGAACATTTATATTTTATGATTAAAAGGTTAATTATATTAAAGATTATAAGAAATTTATACTATTATTTGTGAAGTGATTTTTCGCAACGGATCTCCCACATTAAATATTAGAGCGGTTAATATTGTGTATATCCTTAATGACTTAAATATATAAATTAGCTAAAATAAAAATGAATTTAATTATTTGGATAAGATAGGTAATTAACATTATTAATAATAAAAATTATCCAAAATCTAAAAAATATATATTTTAAAATAAAATATAATTCATATATATATATATATATATATTCTGTTGTTATCTTAAAATATTGAATTTCTAAGATTTATTTATGCAAAAAAATTTCAAAATATTATAATAAGTATGAACTTTAAAATAATAAAAAATACATAATAATTTATCATTACAATTGTTTATTAAGTAATGTATATATTGATAATTAATTATAAAATACTTATGTCCGTAATTGCGGGAGAAACACCTTGTATAATGAAAAAAGAAAAACAAATGAGAGCATTAGAACACCTGCATTGATGCAATTTTTATGAAAATCTCAGAAAATAAAATTAATTAAATATACAATAGTAGAAAAGAGAGTGAAGAAGTTACGAGGCCTTGCTTTATGATGAGGATTTTTCCAACAGTAAAAATACCTTAAACCAAAGAGTTATGTTAACGTTGAACAAAATATATTTATTGTAACTAATTTTAATTATATGCGAGTAAACAATTTAAAGAAATTAGTATAATAACCAATTACATTTTGAAAGATTATTTACTAATGATGCTTTTAGAGCACTTCAATGGGAAGTTCTCAACATATTTTTTTCAATATATATATCAATATTAATGTTTAATTATAAATATTTTAGCTTTATGGAAAACTTAACTAAAAAAATCTCTTTAAAAATATTTTGGATTAGATGTTCAATAAAATTAAGAACCACATAATGAAATACTAATGCCTATGTTGAAAATGAAGCTGGGCGCTAGTCGAACGGTTGGTCTGGACTTAGCATAACAAAAAAATTGGGGATTACTTGAGATTAATCAGGAATTAGTTTTGAAAATTTTATATAGTCTTTAAAGATATTGAAGTACAAACGTAAGATTTGAGATAGAATAGTGGTTTGCATACACTATGACTTTACAGTGGACCCAAATTCGAACCTACAATGTTGTTGTTTTAGTTATTTTAAACTTAACACATTAATGAGAGATAGAATAGACATTTCGTAATCACTTTCTTTCTTATATATGCATGCTCAAAATTCTAATAATGACAGCTGCCTTTTTTTTCTTTTTTTCATTGTTTTTTTTTATTTTTTCAGTATTTATAGTTAAAATTTATAGATCTACCAGAGAACCTTCGATTTTTATGTTCAAATGAACAAATTGGTTAAGTAAATTTTACATCTTGAGTTTTCAGTATTTGATCTTTCTTCATTCATGCGACCAATGTTGTCCTGGTAAAGAAAGACCAAGTTCACATTCATAATTTTAAAAATAAATGTAAAATTTACTTAACCAATTTGTTGTTTTTTAAATTAAATACATTCCGAAGTTGGGGGTAAATCGATTTTCCTTCAATTCTATTGCATTTCAAATTCTTGTACCAACCTGGAATAAGTCTCGAATAATGTGTGGATATATACAACAAACCAAGCAGAGAATTTTAAAATATATGTAAATGTCGATGTTTTGTGTTATATTTGTCGGTCGTATATATCTTTTCTGAACTGTTTTCTACTCTTTATAAAATTCTTTACAATATATTTACGATAAATGACAAATTCTCACCCTGCTGATTCTACTACATTTTTTGAAAATAAATGTATATCAGGTGATATGACTAAACGTGCTTAAATTGTATAGCTAGCTTTCGTAGAATTTGTAGATATTATACAATTTGAAAATTCTACATGGTGACATTAGTGTAAATAATATAGAAGTATGGTGAAAATTATTTACTACGTATTTATAAGTTAAGTGTCAATCCATATTTATATATTAATTGTAGCCATTATATGACACAAATGTTTCAATTACCACTCCAAATTTTACATCTCAACACCTTCATGAATGATTTAATTTTCATAAGTATATGATGTAAAATGTAAATCCTTCGTTTTAACAATTGGAACTCTCTTCTTTTTTTTTTCGGTAAGTTTCTTCGTTTCGTAACATTGTTTTGGAAGGTTGAAGGAATGGTAAATTAACTTTAGATGACAAACGTGAGGAATTAATGGTAAATTAATTCTTTTTCAAAAAGAGTAATGGTAAATTAACCTTACATGTCAAACGTGAGTCATCGTGAAAAAAAAAAGTGAGTCCCACAACCCGGAAAGGTAAATTAATTTGTCAAAAAAAAAAAGGTGTTAACCTTAGATGCCTCCAAAGTAACAAACTAATCCTCTGCGACACTTTGTCCTTTCATGAAAATATATCCTAATTAAATACACACAAAGGGATATACATAGGTAACTTTAAATTTTTATTTACAGAATGTTTCAAAAGAAAAGATAACCTCCTCGCGAAGATCTCAGTCCAATATTTTTGTTCCATGTAAAGGAAATCACAAGCTTCGAATTTCGAATTGTGTTATTGTATTTTTCTGCCCAATAGATAATTCGGTTTAAAAGTTTTAATTTCTCTTCTCCATCTGATAAATGACACTTTGTCACACTCACATCTCTTCTCTCTCTCAAAGGAAAAAAGGATTTGATCTTTGTGGGAACATTTCATTTTCTCAATAAAAGACATTCTCTCTCTTGCTCTTCCACCCAACAACACTTTCTCTCTCTATATACATAGCGACAATAATTCTGTAACATCTTTTACATAACGCACATACATAAATACACGTATACAATACAATCCACACATTATATAAACTTTTACATTCACTCTTCTTCATACACTCTCCCAAAGCTCACAATCAAAATTTTCAGTCTTGTCAGATAATAGGGTTTTTCCATCCGGGTCTTGTCAGATAAATCTAAAATGATGAGAGAAGGTCATGAGGAGGAAGAGATGATGATGATGGTGGCGAGGAAACCTGCATGGCTTGAAGGTCTAACGGCGGAAACTTTCTTCGCGAGCTGTGGGATCCACGAGAGTCGCCGAAAAAGCGAGAAGAACGTCTTTTGCTTGCTCTGTTGTCTCAGTGTTTGTCCTCACTGCCTCACTTCACATCGCTCTCATCCTCTTCTACAGGTGAATTTCCCCACAAAAATTTAGTTAATCGGCACTGAAATGGACGCGTTAAGTCATCTCCTAAGTTTTCTCTGCATTTTGTAATCTAATTGAATCGTATACTTGTAACCCTTTAGGTCAGATTTGAATCAATTTCTCTAAACATGTGATTTATCTAATACATTGAGAACTGTTGAAGTTTAAAAGCAAAACATTATATCATATATGTATATATCATTGATAGTATTGGACTTGAATTGTCTATTATTTTGATTTGGTTTGTTTCTATATATAGTATGTATCTTTTTCCGTCATTTTTATTTATTCTTTATCTTTTCAGATTTGCTTGGTTCTTTTAAAATTATTGTCTTCTCTCTGTTCAACTTCTCTTGAGTTGTTGCTTTCAAAGAACATAAGCTTTGACCAAATTCCTTTTCCTTCACTTCCATTTATTTCTTTGCACCGTTTTGTTTTTATATCATAATTCAAAATCATAAATATTCCCAAAAAATACTATTGGTGTAAATCCAAAAGGAAGCATAGCTCTAATTATAAGATTTAATGTGTTATTCATCTTTAATGTTACCCTGTTGTGCTTGAGGGAAGTAAAGCAGGAAGTTTTCTGAGGCACTTAGGAATTTATTATTCCCAATAGTTTAAATTCTAGCTGTTAATCCCTTTTGTTTACGAATTGGCAGGTAAGACGATATGTATACCACGATGTCATTCGGCAGAGTGATCTTGAGAAGCTCATAGATTGTTCATACATTCAGGTGATCCTAGCTACTCGTACAAAGCTTTGAATTATTTTTTTCCTAGTTTGTCACTAATTATTAAAATCTAAAATTTAGCCATATACAATTAATGGAGCCAAAGTGATATTCATAAACCAAAGACCACAATCAAGAGCTAAGGTCTCTTCAAATGTTTGCTTCACTTGTGATAGAATCCTCCAAGAACCATTCCACTTTTGTTCCCTCTCTTGCAAGGTAATTTTAATCAAGGCACATTCTTTTTGAAATTTAACTTAAGTGGAAATGGTTGAATACTAAGAGCAACTCTATTAGTATTTAATTATGCAGTTCTTAACTTTAAGGGAAACGTATCCCAAAATATATTTATAGAGAATTTTTGGATTGCGTTTTTCATAAAATTAAAAACTCTCCAATTAAATATTATTATCAATAGATATATACATATATACATATATACATAAATTTGAGAACTTTGGATATAGAACCCATCAATAAATTTGCTCTAAGATCATCTCCATTAGGTAGTATCCAAAAAGGTTCGAAGCAATTTCGCATAATATATATAATATAACTCTATTATATATATGTATTTAATAACTGTTGGGAACCTTTCTGCATTTCATCTTTGGTCCTGAATTTGTATTGTTAAGATATTCTGTGAAAACCTTTCCATCAAAACTGATAAACTCATAACTTTTGATTTGTGAATAGTTAAATACTTGCTAGTGAAAAGCATGGAAATTAGTTCAAAAAAGCATGCAAATTTAGTTATAAGATATTGACATAATTGACCCATGAATGACAAAGTGAGACATTAGTTCATGAGATTCACTTGTTTATTGTTTTTATTCGAGTAAAATTTAAATATGATTAATATAATAGAATGATTGCTTCAACTTTCAACTATATGACACAAATATAAAAACAAATCATTACTCTAAAGATGAAAAACGAAAAATTGGAACACAGCTGTTTTTCTTTGTCTTATAATAATCATGCATGTATATTTTTCCTTGGATTATGTGTTTCATTGTTTAGTTATCTTAAACACATGTGAAAGTACAAAGTGGGCACTGTCCTAGGTTTGTGAACTATCATTTCCAACATTAGCTGCATCTCTTATCATTATGTTATCTATCAATGTTTAAGAAATTTTAAATTATATGTGTAGGTGGATTACTTACTGTATCAAGGAGATGATCTATCAAGCTTTCTCTATAGAATCGATGAATCGGATTTCACGTTTTCAAATTTAAGAATGGATGGACACGACCAGCTCGGAGAGATATCAACAATGGAGGAAGATACCGACGATATTATGGTAATGTCACATCAGTGGGAGCAGGGTAACAATAGTAAGGAGAAAACGAAGAAGAAAAAAGCGAGTAATTACTCGCCTGGGTTGGTTCTTTCACTTGGTAGCAGAAGAAAAGGTGCTCCCCACAGGTCTCCTTTTTCATAATTCAAGAACAATAAAATCATAACGAAAATGCTACTATATCTTTAAAATAAGCATTGTGTTCAACAAAAAATCTTTAAAATAAGCATAAATATATGTGTGTATCGTGTTTCTTAGGTGTATCTTGTAATGGGTACGATAAAACCAATAGTACTCTTTTTTTTTTTTAACCAATAGTACTCTTTTATGAGTCTATCACCAAATTGTGTTTGGTTTTCTTTTATATCATGGTAATGTGATATCACTTTTTAGGTTTATTAAATAATTATTGGTTTCTTTATTAATAAAAATTGCGTATATAGTAAAATGGAATATTAAAAGTAATATAGTAAAATGGAATATTAAAAATTGGACTCGTAGTTTGGGTAATTTTCATTGGGAGATGGAAGAGATGAGGACATGTTTTCACCGGCTAATTACGTAGATAAATGAATAGTGATTATTTTCTTCTCGGCGAGGAAAGAAGTATCATTTAGTTTCTTTTCAGTGTTTTAAGTAGGCAAGAGCATGTTCTACTGAAGTGTTCGAATATGGCACAAATCTAAGAATAAAATAAAATTAAAGAATTTCAAAAATAAATATATAAGTATAGTTTAAAATATCAAATTTGTATATATTCCTTTTAAATTTATTGTTTATAATTTAAAAAAACCGCAAATATGTATATATAAAAATATTAACTTTAAAATCATTTTATTACATTATTAAATATATAGTTAACTTTTTTTGAATAGGACTTTACTATAATTCGAGACGGCACTGCAAGTAGGGATCCACATAAAATTCGGAAACCAAATCAAAACTGCATCCAAACAGAAGAAATCTATATCCAATCTGAGATGTAAAAAATATCAAATAGATCATGTAAGATATTGCATAACATATATGAACCCAACATTTTATTAATCGAATCCAAAGTATTTAATGAACAAAAATTTGGAATTAAATCTTTGTTTTTCTCTTTGTTTTACAATTCCCTCGTTGTATTAACATATCCACTTGATGTCTCTATCTATACAAATATTATTTATTTTAAAGTTTGATTTAATGTGTCATTTAACACTTTGTTTTGGTGTTACTTTGTTTCAGATGAGTAAGTTTAGTGGTCAAGATTTTGTTAAATGTTAGTTTTGCATTTGCAATAAAAAACCGATTAATTATCTATCTTTCAAATTATACTTTTAGTATTTCATTATGTTAACTTTGTAGTGTTGTTATTTTGTAGAACTGATGTGTGTTGGATTAATTTTAAAGGGTTTAATAGTTTTTTTGGCTTATGTTTTATTTAAAATTTTATTTTTAATTTGGTATATCTGAACAGAACCGATGTAAAACAAAATTGAATGATATATGATTACTTTATTGATTTTAAGATTTATTATAAATAATATCCAAACTTGAAGTGGTATTAATCAATCATATCATGTATTTAAAATATTAAAATATGACCTACAACGGCGACCAGTATTCGAATGGGTACCCGAACACATATACCTAGTTTAAGGTTTCTTCATTTCATATATTTATTTTTATAACTAATTACATTAATTTTAATTATTAGTACTTTCTGCTATTACATTTAAACTCTTTTAAATAATTTGTTTAAAGTATTTAAAATGATCAACATAGTCATGGTGTTGCCACGGAAAATTGTGGCTTGATAAAAAAAAACCACAGTTTAGCCTTGATTCAAAAATAACCACAATTACAGAAAATATGGCTAAAATAACCACAATTTAGTCAGTGTAAAAATGTAGATACCATAGCCACAATTTAGCAACACAAAAATCGTGGCTAATGTACTAACCAAGAGTTTATCACTGATATTTCATGCCTATATTTTTGGCCACATTTTTTTTCTTAGCAACAATTTAATCATCGTTCTTTTATGGAACCTATTTTGGATTTTTACCGACATATCAGTGGTAGTGTGATATATCATCGAATCACTGAAAATAAGCCAGGCACATTATTTCCGTTGCTACGTCGTAGGTAGTGAAGAATGTCCTTTTCCACGCTAAGACAAAGAATATATTTGAGAGACCGATATTTTAGAATAGCCATGGTTTATTAGTGGCTAGATCATATATATTCTCAACTATATAATAAACTCACTTCATTGAGTGTTTTTCATCCAAAGAGGGAGAAAATTATTTTTCGAAAAATGATATATGTTTTTTAAACATGAATAATGTCTTTTTATTTTCAGTCAAGAAATTGGATGGATCAGTGAATTAATCTAGAAAATAATTGTGTTTCAAATGTTTTTATATAATGGATTAATGCTTTTATTCAATTTGCTTGTTATTATGCATCTTATCGAATGAATACCTTACTGTATCCGTGTGAGCTATGAAAAAACTTGAAGCAAAGGGATTTGAAGACATCGTTTCTCGTACGGATTCAAGGGAAGTTATTATATAAGAAGAGATTTCTATGATATTGGTGAAAGTTCATGAGAAATTCATTTAACGGATGGAAATGGAGTGTGGGGGGGGGGGGTAATACCAGGAATGCTGATGATGATGGTTACCAGTATGGTCCAGAAGCACATTCTTATATGGGCGAAGACATAACACCACTATACATGGTGGAACATGAAGAAGCGACATTGAACGAAGAGCCATCTCGTGGTAGTTTTTCTCAAGCTATTGAAGTGGCAACTCAATGTCATTATGATGGATATGAACAAGGAATTTTTCAGCTGTATGTTGCATCGCACATGATGAAGTGAAGACAAATTACAATATGGTGGAAAATGTATAGATGAATTATTTGAAGCTTTTAATATAATGTTTATGCAACCTAACAAAGCTCAAGTATCATATTATACAACGAAGAAGTGACTTTGGTTATCCGTACAAAAGATTGATGTTTACGAGGTTAACTGTATGCTCTTTGGGATGGGAAAAAATCTTAGGTTGGCCAGTTGTCAGTTTTGTGGTAGAGACCAATACCACACGAATAATGGCAAGGGAAAAATATACCAAAACAAAGAATGTTTTACATGCTGATTAGAGACGTCTAAAGTGTCTATACCAACTCGAAGCTATTGTGTCAAATATGCTGAGGAATAATGAATATGGGTTTCCCGAAGGGCGAGATGCATCACCCATTTGATGGCATATTGTAGAAGCAATTTAGTCAGGTATATCTATGTTTCTGCTGCTGAAAGTTGCAATATTTTTATATAGGCTTATCAACATATAGATTTAATCTGATTGATATGAATTGCGAAGCACATTATGAATGAATCGTGATTGTAATTCCTTATAATTTTCCTTTGAGAATGTGTACGAAAAAGATTTATTTTACTTTGGAATTAGTACCCACGCCAAAACATCCAAATAAATTCTGGATATTTATCTCCAGTCGTTGATTGAAAAATTGCAGAGCTTATGCAGGGATGGTGTGGATGAGTTTGATGTTTTGAGGAAATAAATATTCAAAATGCAAGAAATGTTGGTAAGAACTATAAGTGACTTCCTTCGTATGGCACAATGTCAAGTTTGATGACTCTAGGTTGGAAGGCGTGTCCATACTATCTAGATGAGACAAAACCATTCCAGTTTGCTAATGGAGGGAATCACAACTGGTTTGACTGTCACATAAGGCTTGTGGCTGCAGCTAATACCTATAAGAGAAATATTCAAGTATTTTAGACAGAAAATTTAGTTTTCGTTGTCATCCTCAGCCGTAGTTGATTGGAGAAGAAATTTGGCATGAAAGAATAAACATGTTACAAGTTATTGAAAGTTGTATTTTGTAGAGGAAATGGACATGAGAACCCATCTCAGACAATATCTGAATATGGAATTACCCACAGTTGGGTGAAATGGAGTATCTCATGGGAGTTACCGTATTATAAAGATCATCTTCTCCGATATAATCTTGATTTCATGCACATTGAGAAAAGAAAATTTGATAACTTGATGAAAACGAAGTTAAATACTCCATAAAAGACGAAGGATAATATCAAAAGCATATTGGATCTTCCCTGAATATGAAGAAGACGAGATTTAGATGTAAGGCAAGAGGGAATGGTCAATAAGTCAATACTTAGGTTGGCGAACACTGAGAAACGACAATTCCTTTTGTGGCTGAAAAACGATATAAAATTCCCAGATGGATATGCCTCCAAATTTAGCGGATGTATTGCCGAAAGCAGTTTAAAGCTTTCTTGGACTGAAAAGTCAAGACTGTCGTGTCATAATGCAACAAATTTATCTATGTGTTTGCGAAACTCCTTTTAAATATATGCACACAATAATTAAAGGTATTGTTAAACTTCAAAATTTTATTCGATATTAACTAACACTAATATATTTGTTATAAATTTAGTATTTTTGTCTATAGATACCATTTTCTTCTTTAGAGACATATCATTGAAGACAACAACCCTTGAGAAGGACGACTAATCTGACGATGGAGAATTAACACATCGATTTGCTTTCTTCCTTCCCATTATTCTTTTTAGGTTAATAGAAACTTTTTTTAAAGAGTGTTGTGCTAAAAAGAAGTTTAAGGTTTTTAAAAATTGACATTAAATTTGGTCTCAAATTCTAATTTAATTCTAATTAAATCTCATTATTATTATTAAAAATTCAAAAAATTTAGAAAATAAATTTGTAAATAAAATAGGTATTTGATTCTATTTATAAATATTTAAATAGGTAAATTAAATTATAAATTGTTAAACAATTTTTTTTTAATTGAAAAAAATAATAAAAAGGAAGATTTTGCGAAGCTAAGATGTTGTCATCTAAAAGGCAAGTATCACCATGAAGCTTTGTAACCTGAAAAACATATGTACTTCATCATTTTTTAATGTTTTGGAACAACTTCACGTGCACCTCCAGATGAAGCATCATTAGGTGGTCACGTTCATATATGTGGATGTATCCATTTGGGAGATGCATGTACCACTAGAAGAAGAAAGTGAAAAAAAAAAAGCAAACCTTGAAGGTTTGATGCGGCACAATGTATAAACGAGGAGATTTCAAAAGCCTCATCCAGTCATTTTGGACATCCTGAAATTCAAAACATCCCATAAGGTCCAGGCGATACTTGCTTTACATACAACTATTCAGACATTCTGATTTTGTTTTATCATGAAGAAAAAGTTAATGGACAAAGGTCAACTGG